TTCTGAGTACCCTCCTCCGCAAATCTGTTCTTGATCTATAAGGAATTATATGCGGTCACGAAAGGTATACTTTGTACAAACCAATTCAATTCGATGAGCCCCCTCCGTCCTTAAGACAGCGAAATTGGGCGTCTGGCTACTTCAACGTATAGGTTACTTATTGCAAAAAAATCCAGAACTCGAGTACAATTCCCTTAAAAGACCGCAGAAGTGGGTCCGGACAAACCATGTGATGTATCACTAACGTTAAACTCAACGTGTAGGTAGAAAACGTACTTTGCTCATACTATATAACGCAAAATAACGTTTTTTAACAGATAACCTGCACGTTACGTTTAACGTTTCTGATACATCACAGGGATGAACAGCACATTTTTTTGATCCTTAAAAAATGCGCTAAAAATATCCTAAGAAACGAATGTAAAGGTTTATTTTTTAAAAACGAAATATGTGAAAATGATCCCTCGATACAAATTATTTATTTCAGGGAGGGTAAAAAATCATTTGACAATAAAAATACGTTATGAAATGAAATTAAATATGCATGCGGACCGTTTTTGCGCCGTCAACATTGGTGTCCAACTTAAGCACAGAAAATTATTAGTTTACCTACACGTTAAATGTGGAAATCCCTGCAAGAGTATTTGAGCTGTGCACGAATAGTCGTATGAACGAAAACTAAACAATATACGAAATTTCTCAGGTACGAACTCTTAGTTGAAAAATACGATATTCGAATCTAGGAAAACTAAGAAACTGATCGTAGTTATTTAAAAATAGCAACCGAAGGACATTTATGTATGGCATCTCCAAATATTTGATTTAATGCCCTACTATTGTGAGGAAAACAAACATTCATAACTATAGACCGATCTCTATTCTCCTTGTGTTTTTGAATATCCTGTCACTTATCTCTTTCACAGTTACATGTGGGTTCAGGAAAGGTGCGAACAAAGCCGAATAGTACATAAGTTATACCATACTTACAAAATGACCATTTATTCTTATCTGAAATTTATAATTATGACATACAGGTACAGGTACGTCTGATAAATAATTAGTCACTCCACAATAATTGATAATGGCTATCTGTAACTATCATATTATAAATTTTTCAAATCTAGTGTAGGTTGTTGTTTGTGGATTATATGATAATTGTGGATGTGTCTCCTGAAAAATTCAAAAGCATCTTGTTGCTTAGTGTGGTAAAATTCGCTTTCAGTTCACTTTTAATTTCCTTTGCTTATTTCTGAACTTGTAATACCAAGTTTTTGGAAATTCCTAACGACCAACACACATCCTAGTATTTTTAAATACTAGTTTAGAATATCTGTGCGTTTTTATAAATTACAAGTTTAACTTTTAAGTATTTTCGTGGTGTTTTTTAGGACGTGCGTGTTTTTTGATGATTTTGACAGACGACATCAAAACATGCGAACTTATGTTTACATCCTACGTTCATGCTGAAAAAGGTAACTACTACGAGAACAATTCTACGGTTGTCAGTGAAAAGGACGTGTGGCAGTATACCGAAATTGACTTGTGTACATTAAAAATTAAAAAAAAAACTTTTCGTAAAAGGGATATCAGAATAAAATCAACAACCTGCAGAGCTTTTCAATTGTTAAGAAGTTACATCTCTTGCTATTTTATTAAACCTTAATAGTACCGATTAAACATATTGTGTGGAAATTACAACACGTCCTTCGTCCAATTACTTCATTTTAAAATAATACTTTTGAATATAAACCTTAATTTTATGTGTTATAAACGTCAAGACTAATAGATTAATATAGTCCTTTTGCTCAGTTTATTCCCATATGGTATTAACCGCCCCAATTTTATATTCAATTTACCTTCCGTCGTCAACTTGGGATAACGCCTCCCTTTAAGTAAAGTGGAATACCGCACTGACGTGGTGAAGTGTAAAGATTACCATTTCAGCGAACATAGCATTGTAAATAATTCTGGTTTGTAGGATTACCTTTACCGAAAAGAGAATTTTAAATTTCATTACTCAGCAAAATATGTAATTACTATTGATAATTTATAGCAATAAACGAAATAAATAATTAAGTTGTAAAGTGAAATCGTAGTAGTATTTCTATCTTCTACAGTTGTTCATTTGAGATAGGTACGCAAACGAAAGGTAAAGCTCTTATGCACTAAATTATCAGGACGGTTGTAATGCTTAACAGGTTTTAAGCGAAATTGTCCTTTATGTAAAGGAAGTCGTGCAATGCGTAATTGTTTCCAATGGGTCCCCCGAATTCGTAATCTTCGTCAGTACGCCATTCCAGTTTATTTAACGAGGCGCATTAAACAAATTTCTAGACGTAAATTGAACATAAGATGAAGGCGGTTAATACTATATGGGGCTAAACTGAGCAAACTTCAGTATCCTAGTATTATTATTTTCTCATCAAGCACCTGTTTTCCGCTTAGACGTTTACCAGTTTTAGTGATCACTCTGTAGATGAACATTCGGTATCTAGAAGCGTTTTAAGTTTGGCGCGCCGAAAGTGTTTAGGAGTTGAAGATAGAAGGTAAAGGTATTTGATTTAATTTATAGAGTCGTGTTTCAGCCACCAGTACCGTAAATAAAAGCTACAATTAATTTGCCGTTTGAAATCGTTCCCGTCAAGATATTTCAATGGTCTTTGTTGCGTCCTCTTGTCATTTAGAAGACGAGGCAAATTAATATTTTGGAATTTCAACTCCGTTAAGTAGTTATTTAGATGATTTTGGTTTCCTATGATAATTTAAAACGAGCTTTAAAACGGCAGCTTTACACCGTTAACAAGTTGATAAGAGATCTTTATGCCGACCTGAGAAATTAACAATGAACCTTATGGGACTACCAATTTAAGAAATTTGAATCCGGCCAATTAAGTAAGTGCAATTAACAGTAGCTAAATAAATGTGTTGCAGTAAACAGCATCCGATACGGTCGTGAGGGATCTCAAAAGAAGCGCTCTTAACTAATTTGAATTTTAGAGAACGTCGCAGGCCTCACAATTAATAAAGGAAGTTTTTTGGATGGAAATAACCGAATACGCCGTGTTGCCTGGAAAATCGTTCCGTTCATGGCATACCCGAATTTTATAAAAGGTAACCGTTGTTGAAAGGGGATCGTTTTTCTTTTGGCGTTTATCCGAATAGTAAGTTCATATTTTGCCCTTGGGGTTTTGACCGAAACATAAGATCTTTTGCATCGTTGAAAGTTACGGTTATGTACCGTAATTTTGAGCTTTTCCGTAAATTTATTTTGCATTCGTACCGTTTAATTTTTGCTTTTACATTAAGTTTACCGCACCGTATCTAAAGCCTTACTTTTTCTTGCACAGTAATTTCCACCACTCCGTTTTATTGCAGAGTAAGCTTTATTTATTTAATTATTTATTATCCCTATCTTGTTCTGGGCCATTAACAGGCTTGCGCCCTATTACAGAGTGACCCACCTAATGCTTTTTAGAGGTGCCTTTGCAGAAGGTCTTAAGTTGTTCTATACTACTCCGGTATTTACCTTACGAACTAGGAAAACTGCAGGAAAACCTAATTCGAAGCAACCGGCTGAATGCTGGAAACTGGTCTAAGGAATTTCCCATCTCTGGTAAAGCGTTTGAGACGTTTTCCGAACTAAATTAATAAGTAAATATTCATGCGCGCTTATAAAAGGCGCCCAAACGAACGATTGTGAGTTAGTGAAGCTTCTTCTTTGCAGTTTCTACATTTTTGGTTGCTTGCTAAAAGAAACCAATGTACCATTTTGAAATGTTCATTTTAAAATTCCAAATTTATATTCGATTTAAGTATCATTCGATTCTTACTCTCATTTAAGTGATATTCTTATACCATGTATGTAATCTCTGTAATCCCGTTTAGTTTAGATGTAGTTCGTTGAGCATTATAGGTTTCATTTTCAATAGTTCTTTATTTTCGCCGCGAGAGGTTATGCAGATATTACCGTAAGAGATTTATGTGACCGTATACCCTTCTGTAAGGTGTTTCTCTTGTTTTGTATGCTTAATGCGGATATATTTGCAAGTTCTAAGGTCGTTTACGGTATGTACCTACAATTAGTTTTTGAAGGTACAGAGACTCATCCGAAACAGATATCAACGATTTTTATTTACGTTATTTGTGTCATTACCACGTTCATACTTTTATATTACGCATTTGGACGGACAATTCGTTGTCAATCAAAATTTTGCTTTTGTTTAGTTAACGTAAATTGAATTAGTGGTTCTTATTGAGTGTTAATTAAGGTTTTAGTATACGAGTACCCAAGTTTCAAACGTTAGACATTGCTATCGCAATATTTATTTGCCGCGCTATTCACTATCCCTCTTTTTTTTTTGTGTTTTTATATGTTACAGATAAGGCAGAAAAGCGTCCTTCTGGGCTCGGAAAAGCCGTTTCGACCTGTAGTTCAAAGGTAAACGTTGACCTTGTAATATTTTGACATCAATTATTAAATCACCCTCGATTGTGACAACCATTATTGTTTATATTTTATACTTTTCATCCGAATATCATACAATACTTTTCTTCTGAATAATAAGTATCTCAAAATGGGAAATCTCGAGTCGATAAAGATGCGTGAAAGGTAACGACTGTAACTAAACGTAAAGCAAACATTTTTCGTACTTCTGCATTAAATTGCGACTTTTCATGTTAGTTTTAGTACAGAAAATAATAATAATTTTTGATTGTGAAGGAGAAATCTGAGTAACGTAAATTAATGAAACGTACACCTCTGATATACACATTTAGTAGGAGTATAAAAAGGCATTTCTTATTTGCAACGCAAAATTTGTGGTTCCTTTATAAAACAGAACTATAGGATGACAGAATAAAATATGAAAGAGTTAAATGCGGAAACGCGACATTTATTCACATTTTTATTTTCCACGTACCGCTAGGGCGCTAATTGAATTTATATCCCCGCTCAAAAAGGTACGCAGTGATTCATTAATAATGAAGTTAATGTTACTCACATCTAACACGAAGCATTACTGGTTTGCTCACAGTTTCTCCCCTGTTATTGGCTGCCAGACAGGTGTAACTGCCGCTTTGCCATCGCGTCACCCTTTGCAGAACCAAACTGTGTGTGCTGATTATTACTCCAGATGACATGTTCTGACTCACCAAGCCACCCTGTAAAGTACACAATTAACAACTTGCAAAAATTACATGAAAAATAAATATCTACTTTCGTATAATGAGAGTTATGAATTTTTATGTATAACCTAAAGAGAATTTATAGAGGGAGTAAACGTCCGTCGACGTTATCTAATCGGGTACAACAATACAACCATAGTCTGTTAACACCATTTAAAAAGCGATTAAAACACCCTAACGTGATATTAAAATTTATAATTAGAGCAGATAATCGTGTCGTGCATATATTTCGAAAAATAATGGTCGCGCGGTAGGTATTTAAATTTATACGCTCCTGCATACTACTCACTCAATCACGTTTGTTAAAGAATTTTACAAAGGCTGGAGTGCAATTTACAAGAGCGTCCGATCGTGCGTGTTTATAACTCTGTTATACGGCCGTTTACACGCAAGGCAACATGTGTAGCTTTTTGTCAAATAATGAGCTCTAATGAAACTACCGTAATGTTTTTTTGCGTCATTTGACAGGATTCCCTTTTATTTTACATACTGTTCTTTCCCAAATAATCCGACGTTAAACTTCTAGATGATAAAACCGAGAATAAAGCTTTTGGCCTAGTTTTCAACGGGATAGTGAAAAGAAATGGAATCGCAGCTACTGTTCGTGTTCAATTCAATTATACGTGCACGTGTTGTTGAGGTCTGTGCCGTTTAATTGCAACCTAATATTATAATACGCTTCTTGAGAAATCTGACGTAGAAAATTTGAAAACAATTTTTTACGTGACCTACTATTCTTCTCGTAATTCGCTTAAATATTTAATTGAGATGGTAGCAAGTTAGATAACTAGGATTGGAAATCGATGATTAGGGAGAAGCTTTAGGATGGATAGGCGAACCACATCATGCGAAAATCGTGTCTTTCATAAGTCATTTTCACTAGAAGATGAATTTACAATAAAACAAAATGGCAAGAGAAAATATTTCAGTTTCAATCTGTTCTGATTTACAAGATGTTATCGTTTTATGGGAACCCCGTACATAACTTCGTAATTATATCCTTCTAGGTGCTATTACAGTCTTAATTACATACATTAAAAATTCAATCACAATGAAACTCGCCAGAAGTTCTATCTGACCGTAACGTATTAAGACTCGGACTCCAACCTGACAGATGGCGAGTTCGAATCCCAGAATTTGCCAGTTTTTAGTGGTACAAAACATCTGCTGACTAACATGCTTCGGAGGGCATGTAAAGGTCACATAGACGGCTGTTGATACGATGGAAACGCCTGTAACCCGACCGAGGCGCGTGGCGCAGTGGTTGGGCTCACCGATGCTATTCGGGAGGTCGTGGGTTCGAATCCCGTTGCCGACTGCTCTGTCTGGGGTTTTGTCAGGGGGTTTTCCTCAGACATACGTAGCTTCGCATAATGCTAGCATTATGTTGAAATCTACGAGGCGAATGCTGGAGCAGTGCTCTCCCCCTCAGCACCCTAACTCCGTTCCTTCCGTTCCCATCCCTAACTTTACATATTCTTACATTCCCGTTCTCTGGCTGAAGAGGCTCTGGCAAGCCTGAGCAGCCTGCCTCCGGCGTCCCTGTAGTCAGGCATGTCGGAGGAATGAAACACGACGACCTTTTCCTTTTTCCTTTCTGTAACCCGGGAGTGCCACTCATACGATAAATAAATAAGTAAAACAACGGGCGATCGAGTCGTCCATGTAAACAAAAACTCCAAAGGCGACTCTTCAGCCCACCAGTCCCCCAAAGCCGCAAAATCGCCGGGCGACCGGGAAGTATGGGTGTAGGAACGGATCCATAGGACGCAATGTGGCAAGTGTATCCGAGATACCAGTCTCTAGGCGACTGTATGTCCGTGCAAAATCGGTCCCCTAAGACCCTGCGAGATATACCACGCACCATGTTATGGAACATTTACAGCGGCATTTAACAACACTATCAACGCAAACTACGACTTTGGGGTGAAGATCAATCGATGTATTGATGTTGCCTACAGTATCAGCATCTAACATTGATCAGAGGGTTACAAAAGCATTATTAGAGAATACCACCACGCGATTACATGAAATTAGTTATAGTGTAGTTGCTTGCGCTTCAGCCTGCGGGGGTGGCAACCAAGGGCTTTGGAAACAATTAAATATTAATGTAGATAATACTTTCTATCTATTTTTTTGCTTACGTGCCGGATTTATTATAGTTACTAAGAAATTGTTTCTAGGATACCGGATTTGTTTAGAGTGAAGAAGGATCTGACATTAACCCTGGACCTGTAAAGAAATTAATCGAAATTACAAGAACCGAAATCAATTGTACTTAAAAGCCTGCCGATTCATCATCAACAGAATTAGCGGTTCACGAATGGTTTCAGTTTTCATAAAAATCAGCAATTAACCCCCAGACCATTTCACGCTTCGTCGTCGTCTACAGAACTTCCTGGTACAACAACGTCTGTTCAATCTATTATTTTGGATTCATCAATTGACAAACGCGAAACTTACTTTTGCAATAAAAATACAAAGAGGGTGAATGGAGTTGAAAAGAAGGTGACAGCTGTAAGTACGGAACAATTTGTTGAGACCTTAAAACAACGTGCCTTTCTAGACGATGAAGATCTGTTAAATAGACCAAAAGCCAAAAATTTGGTATATCATGTGGTCTGTGAGCGAACGAGACCAATCGCAGAAAACAGAAAGATAATAACAAGTAAAAAGATTTTCGCCCTAATACGCCGATAACACCTAGAATTTTTTATATGGTTAACCCCAAACAAAATATTATAAAGATGCGACTTATTTTAAAAAGCAGTATTATATGCTAGGTTTAACATATAAAAAGTTCCGATGTCTCCGTTTTGCATAACACTTTGAAAATTGAGGCGCCATCTTGATTTTTGGTACTTTCCTCACTTATTTAAGAATAACTCAGAAAATAATAACTTTATAAAAAACTACGAAGAATACTTTTTTGTTCTACATTAAATTCTACAGTATAAACTGTAATTAGATTTTTTCAAGTGAATTAGATAAAAAGATATACTAAAGAAAATAGATACTTTTGTTACAAAATTTTTATAATATATAATATAAAATGATACAAATCAGTTATTTTAAAAAAATATTGTTTTTTGATTACTGAAAAAATAATACTAACAAATATGTATTGTTGTGCTTGTACAAATGTACATGGGTCCATTTACGAGATTACGAAGCACTTGCAACGTTAAAGGCACTCCGCTTCGCGTCGTGCCATTAAACTCGTTGCGCGTGCTTTAAACACTTCATTATACACTTGTATCTTACTATTACACGAACGTAAACGTTATATGTACGTATTTTAAGCAAAAATCAATAATTTATATTTTTGTAAAACATATTGCAAGTACAAATAAATATTATGGTGTTGGATCTTACAGCATTCTATGTATTTTTTACTGATCTTTAATTTTAATCTCTTAATTTTTTTCGATGTTTGTAATAGTTTTTAAGTTATACATTTTTTTTCTAAAAAACAAAGAAAATTCGATATGGCTGCCCGAATTTAGGGGTGTTGTGCAAACGGAGACATCGGAAGTTTTAGTATGTTAAATGCGACCTATAAGACTGTTGATTAAAATACGTCTCATCTTTATAATATTTTGTTTGGGTTCGACCCTAACTGTACTGGAGTATAAGACGTGTAACTTCAGTGCATTTTCCATGCATTGATCAGTAGTTCCCAAAAGGTCATAGCTATGGGCGCCGTTTTCCTTTACTAGAGGCATCTATTAAAATTGCAAACAAATATCTCCATAAATAAGAAAGTTGACGGTGCGCAGTTCGCGCATGCGCACTTTCAATGTATGGTATATGCGATGTTTGTTTTTACTAGAAGCGTCTATGGTTCAAATTTCAAAGAAATATCTTCATAAATAAGAAAGTCGGAATTGCACAGAGATATATTCATTGCTAGAAGACTCCGTAATGTCTGTTGTTTTCCTTGTGCAACATGTACGCGGTTATTCCGTAATTTGGACAGTGCGTACCGCGTTTATTATGAGATACAAAAAACTTTAAATACAAAAGTGTAAAAAAACATCGCACACTTTGATAAGTTTGTAATGGAACGCCCTGTATGTTAATCAAAAATTGAATAATCTTTTCTTCTTGATTTCAAAAATATACAGGGTGTATTAATGTCATGCAGATATTTAGGGGGTGTACTCGTCAAAGTAAGAAAAAGTTGCAAATATATGCCTGGTCCAAAGAGCGTGGTTTCGTTATACAGGGTGCCAAAGAAAATGTAACACCCTGTATACTGCGACCAACTATTTAGCCTATATAGCCGTATCGGTCGTACGTGCGTTGAGGGTAGTTATAAGAAGATTACCACCTTTCCAAGATGTCCAAATGGTCGCCGTTGTCCCACAGATACGTTAATTCTACTTCAGTTAAAGTCAGCTCTTTGTTCTATATTTTATATCACTAATTAGAGTCGTCGAATTCCACAATTATTGTCAGAAGATTAAACTTTATCTTTCTTACATTAAAATAAATTATCATAAAGGCTTTTCTGTTAGGAAATATACGAGATTGTTTAAAAAATTTACGTAAACGCGCAATAAGGGATGTGCCTTAGGCGGTATGGTCAAACCAAGTTATCGTTGCATTTGTTTAAATTATTAATTAAAACCTGTTTTGGAGAACAGAATTGCGAGCGCTCCCGACTCATACCTATGTAACGAAACACTTCTTCATACCCGAGGTAATGACCATGCCATATATTTGTGGAGTGTGCAGGTCAACGCCGGTATCAGTTTGATAGACTGTTCGCCTGACCTGAGAAATTCCAAGAGACGGTTGGGGTTAATTAGAATTTAGAAATTTCATGTGACCCATTTAAGTGAGGTTAAGTAACCGTTGCTAATTGAATCAGTTGCAGTATACAACATCCGATTAAGTCGTGAGTGGTTTGAAAACAAGCGCTTTTAATTACGAGTAATTTGAATTGTTAGATTTATCGAAGGACACACAAT